TTCAATTGTCCACCACTCAAATTAAACCAATGCCCAATGTCCACAGCAGAATATCACAATATGTCCAAAACACTTCCCACACAGAATACAGAAACCAAACTAATATATAACTACTTAGTATGTTAGCTTTACGATATCATAAGTACAATAGCACACAATCAGTATATCAACATCACACAATAGCACAAATTAGCACACACACACACACACACACATCTCGAAGTACAAACAGTCATCATATAAATACTATCAATGAACAATCTAGAATACTAAACAAGTTAGAGAAAGAATATTCCAGAATGAACATGAAAATTCTTGAAAGAAGATTAATGAACATGAAAAATTATATAAACATCAGATAAACAAAATTAATTTAAAAAATAATAGTGGCAAAAGTAGGTATCGAACCTACGACCTCGAGATCATCAGTCTTGCGTTTTAACTACTGAGCTATTCAGAAAATAGATTGCTACGCATCAAAACTCCAAACAGGTGTTAGATAGCCTATAAACAACGCTAAGACCGGAATTGTTTCTTATCTTAATTAGACGCTACATTAATTACATATTCCACAATTGATTACGCTATACATAATGAACATTACACAACTCAAATTAAATAAATGTATAGACACTAGATTAAATAGAGAATACTAGTAGAGATGAAATATTCTCTTTTAGAATGGTGGTATCTGTCTCAAGTTATAAAATCAGATTCTTTTGATATAAATAAAACTCATATTCATTGTCTTATAATATTATACATGTTTAGTGGTGCATGTCAACATTACAAGTAGAACAAAAGGAATTTTAAGATGTTTCTGGATATCTGATATCATTCAGTGTTTAAATGAGAGTGATTTCATTGTCTTCGTGACGTCAATTATAAAACGTGGGCTAATTTGTTCGTGTATTCTTTTGAATCGTTTGAAAATGAAGTAGTAAACAATTGAGAATCATAGAATACATATTTATTGTATTATGAATTTGTCAGGAAAATATTTTCATTTTGCTTATTTTGATAATAAAAACTATCGTTGGTCAATTTTAGAAGAAAGTTAATTTGTACCTAATTTGTAAGCAAACTTAAAAGTTATTGTAAAGATATGTTAGACCTATACACGTGTGTTTTATGATCTGTTAAAATGCAAGTATGTTAATTTGATAGGAAATATAAACAAGGTTTTCACTTTATCATATCAATTTACACACATTATTCTATTTGACCAAATTTCAATTTAATAAGAAATCTTTAATTTTTCAGTTTTCATATTTGATATCAAATATCTTCTTACATGAAAGTCATTTTTAAACAACTTTATTGAATAGAAGGTGACATGTTGACTCACCCAGGACGTGTTGACAAAAATTCGGGACAAATTGACAAAAAATGACAGTCTCTTAACATGATAATATTGTTTGGTAAACAAAACTAGTGATATAAATTTAAATGGATATGTAACGCAAACTTTTTACGGAAAATTTAAGCATCGTAATGCTTAAAGGTCCAGTGGAGGGGTTGCTCTGTGTTATAAAGAGTTGATATCGGATGGTATTACAATTGTTGAAAATAGGTATGACACTTTAAATTGGATAAGATTAGACAAGAACTTTTTTCATAATGAAACAGATATTTATATATAAGATAAGATAAGTTATAGTTTTCGTGACATGTGCATACATGACATAGATACATAATATACAGATTAAACAAAAGGCACCCGGCCCTTTGGGCCTATATGTCACCAGGAAATCAATGATGTCATTATTTACATAATTCTATAAAGTTACTTCTTTTATACACAGGATGATCTGAAGTACAAGAACATATACAAAATACTAGTAATATATTTTCTTATGTTATCAAAATTTAATGTCAATACAATCTATTAAACAACTAATTAGTTACTATGTAAAGGTACAAATATATATTGCTAAAATGAGCTAGAAATTCTCAATGAATTTGCGTATAAGGTACATCGTTTTAACATAATAAAAGTAAGGAATAATGAAGTATCTAAATAGAGTGGCCACATGGATGAAATGTAAAATAGCAGTAACATCGGACTATCTTGATTACATATAAACACGAACTAATGCTTCAATTAATTAGCAACATACATATCTAAGTTAAATAGACAATTAAATTTACGTTAACCATACTGAAAAGCGGAAAAAAGTTCCTTAACATTGTGATCATAAATATGAAATGCAACAAGTAGTGTTTAAAATAGATAAATGCAGAATCCCTAAAGAAAGCCCAGCACGGCAAACTTGAAAATGTTGCAGGCTCGGTTTGATTGAGCCTGTTCATGGACGGCACTGGAAAGTGCAAGTTACCGTCCACGCCCCCTAGCACCGGCTTAAGCAGAATTCAACATTTAAACATGAAATAGTAAAATTTTGAATTTAGAAACATCCGCAGATGTGTTCATACGGCGGTTATCATGGAACCTTCAATGTGACACTTCCGTGCCATTCCATGAAAAGCGGCGTATGGTCCCCAAATAATAAAAAGCGTGTGCCCTAAACGAGAAAACAATGGGCGGAACTAAATAAAATGGAATTTTGAAAGGGGATCAGAGGTTATGAAGCCTGCGTATCACAGATAAGACGTCAAAAGACAAATTTTAAAAGCAGGCAACATATCCTAAGGGTGATTCAACTTTATTCAAGTAGGAATATTGGAACGACCCAACTAGAAAATGCCGAAAAGTTGAAACTAAAAATACCACAAGCACAACAATAATGTCGTGCTGAACGATTTTCAAGGATCGAAAATATAACATCATTGATTAAATGTACGGGGAGACGTTTTACAGCCGCCACACGGCACAAATAACACGGATGTGATCATAAAATAGATAAATGCAGAATCCATAAAGAAAGCCGAACACGGCAAACTTGAAAATGTTGCAGGCTCGGTTTGATTGACCCTGTTCAGGTTTAAACTTCAAAAAACAAAATTGCATATATACTCACATTATTCAAGTACTACGCAGCACATTTATTATAACAATATATACATTTAAAATACAAATGCAATACCAGTTACTGTGCAGAAGATACGACATTATAGATTGAATTACTGGACTAACGTTTAACCAAATCGTAAACACATACACACCATCGCACACACGCACACACGCGCGCACACACACACACACACACACACAGGTTGAGATTTGGAAAATAGTTTACTTTTGAAAGTTTATATCACTTAAAATGTGTTACTAAACTGGTGATAGAGTGATCACACTATTTAGTATTCGAATAACAACAATATTACGTTACTGAACTTGCGTTAAAAATATCGTATATATGTATATAAAAAGAGGTAAGGTTTCAATAATAGAATGGACACAGACATATAGTGAAACAAAGAAAACTTCGAATTACAATATTACATAATTATATTATATACACATTCATTGCAAAATGGGTTCATTTTAATTACATATACAAGACTATATGTATACAATGGTTTAAGTCAAAAGTCAAGGTTAATTGATTACTATGAGAACAAGACACTTTTTTTTAAGGTAAGCGGATATAAGAAATTTTGCAAGTTTTCTAGGGTTGTTTGAAACAATATGAGATAGTCTCTGATTCGTGTCCATGAGAGGATCGTTAAGGAAATCAAAAAAAGCTCTGAACTGATTTTTACGCAAGTCTTTATACTGTTCACACTGAAAAAAGAAATGTTTCTCGTCTTCTACACGACTCGAGGTACAAAGTCTACATAATCTCTGATCAGGCTGTTCTCCAATGTAACGTCCTGTTTCAATTCTTAACGGTAGAATACCAGTTCTAAATTGACACAGTATTGATCTTTCGTTATTGTTCAAGTTCAACAATACATAGTCTTCGCATTTAAAGCTCTTTCTTCAAATATTCGGCACTGTATTTTTGGCACTGTTTGGACATCTTCTGACCAAATATTGGAATAATTGGTCATTAGCATGTGATAAGTTAATAACTGTTCTATTGTCGTAATTTGAGTCTAATCCAAGTATGGTCATGACATGTTTTATATCGGAAGACCAGTTATTGTTGCATTTAGCGTAGTCAGTATTGAACACTATTTTTGTAATTCTCGAATCGTCGATTAATATTAATCGATTCCACAGTCGCAGAATATTTCCCCATCGTCTGTGAACCCAGTGTCACCAACCATCGCGAGAATAGACCCTTTCATTTAAGCGATAACAGTCAGGGAAGAGTAATTATATCCTTCTATTATTGTACTCAATCGTATCGGCATTGTCCACCGTATCCCCCGATGACGTCATCCAAGGGCGACAACTTGAACCCAGTCTTAAATGAAAGGGTCTATACAAATCTCGCAGAGACTATGATTTTGCTTTAACAGTACTATGTTAAAAATTCGTTGTCATAATTATGTTTTTTTAGAAAATTAATACCATACTGTCATCAGTGATAGCTGTACAGCATCTTAAGTATATCACAAGAAAAAAAATTGTGTAATGAAAATGTAAATACTCATGCACTCATATAATCTGTATCTATTCGATAATTATTTTTAGTTTAAGTATAAAATTCAGATTTTGATTTTTATACTATTTTCACTTTATAATTTCAAGTTGCATTTGATCTGTACTTAACCAATATGCTATGCATCTTATAAACACCAATTTTTCATAGTTATGCAAAATTGTATATATTTTTATTTGTTAGTTTTCAGTTTCTAACATTGTTTTATTATGTAAATCACTTAAAAGTGGCAATAAAGAGTATATATGTACAAATTCAAAATAAAATTCTGTTCTGTCAACTGTACGAGTTGATTCGACAACATTTTAGATAGTTATTTATTAATTAATTTATTATTTGATCGGGTTGCCATTGTTTTCATGAATACAAAAAGTATTAAAGTCTATTTAATTTGTGCTTCAACAATCATAACATTGAATTATATTTGGCATTTTAAAAACTATGCGTTAGATTGTGTACTAATGCAAATTACCATGTTACTTTCAGCTCGATGGACACAGTGGAAAAAAATAACAACATGTAGCGCCAAACCCTGTAACTGTCATGTTCCAAAATCAGGACAAAGGAGAAAATGCGAACAGGGAGAAATGTAAGTCAGTATGACGGGATAGCAACTTTGAAGCTGTTCAACATATTTTTTTCAACTGTATCGTAACTTTCGCTTCTCTGTTAAAAAAGAAGCAGCACTAAAAAAGAAACAGCACTCTTATCAAAGTTATATTTGACTTTCCTTGTACATATCCTCGATAAGTGTGGTTTATAAGAATAAAAACATATACGCAAATAAGTTTTAACATTGATTTATGCCAATAAATTTAAGGGAACGCTGCAAAATCTCTGTCAAAGTCATTGACTGTTATGTTTAAATTCATTATATTTAACTATCTGTAAGAATTTCATTAAAGCAAAATGAGCAATAAAAATTATTAAAATAGTATCATTCAGTGTTCAGATACATGTACTATATTTTGGAATATTGTTTACGTTAATTATTTTAGATTTATGTTGCGGTTTTGCATCCGTGAGGAATCAGATACGCACGATTGTCAGCGGGACAACGGTATTGGAGCCATAAAGAAAGAGAAATGCATAAATGATGGTACAAATTGCCCAGGTAAATATTTCATTTCATTGTAAGTCCCATCTATGTCCTTATTCACAATTATACTTATCTTTAGGAAAAAAAAAAATGAAAATATATTTCAAAATATAAAAATATATAATTGGTATGCCAACAGAGATTTACAATCGTTTAATTGTACGAATGTAAAATTATTTTGATAAATGTTATTTTTATATATATTTTGTTATAATTAATAACGCTGAATGAATTATTTCCACTGAAAAAGCCCTTAAATTTTGAATTCGAATAACTTTCTCCACAAACTATCAGTTTTCATTTTTTTTTTCTGATTTCTATTACAAAAAATGAAAATGCGATAAAACAGTTATAGTATATGAAACTCCTTAGTTACGGTGGTATAACACTGCCTGGGGCGACATCTCTGGATGTTTCTGCAAGATTTTGTAGCAGAAACACCCCTTGATGTCATCCCAGCCATAGTGTTATATCCTGTAACTAACTCGTTTCATATACTATAACTATTACCAATCAACTTGCATGCTGTATTTTTAATCACGAAAGACAGTGCGGTGACTGGGATTCGGGTAGCAGTGCACTCTAGGGAACGCACTGCGCATGTATGGGTATAAGAATTTACTCTGTCACATTTTCAATTGAAAGGTCTCCAAACTATAATACAACTTACAATTGAATGATACCCGTAAGGATAATAGAATACAAACAGATATTACAAGAACTCCGATTTCAAGTTTCTGAGTAGTGATTTGTGTGTATCTGTTCGTGTCTGGTTCAGACAGATATATCTATTATAATTTTAAACATTATCAAAACTAAATGCCAAACATAATACTATTCAACTGATCTAAAGAAAATGTTTCTTAGAGACAACTTATTTAAAATTAAGATTGTAATGAATCTTTCTTATGGTGGCATATTTCTGCCACCAGATAACCATATAACTTACTAGTAAATTAAGAGGTTACCTAGTTACTTAACTAGTTAATTTGTTCAATAAATAAAAGATCTTAACGGGAAATAAATGCATGTTAGTGCCTACAACTGCCATTCTTTTATTATTTTACCAGCTTAATATTAATGGGTTTAATAGTTAAGTAACTAGTTAACCACATTATTAACTAGTTTTTTAAGTGATTTACTAAGTAACTAGGTAACCAGTTAGCGATATTTTGGATAAGTGGTAAGTGATTAACTAGTTACATGACTTGTTAATCACTTAAATAACTAATTAATTATTTGGTTAACTAGTTACGTAACTAGTTAACCACTAAACTTTAATGTTGTAAAATGATAAAAGGATGGCAGTTGTAGGCTCTAACATGCATTTATTTCTCGTTATGATAACCATTTAACTAACTAGTTTGTTAACAGGTTAACAAGTTACGTAACTAGATAACTAATTACTTAACTGGTTAGTTGAGTGATTTACTAGTTATGATACTAGTTAACCACTAAGCGATATTTTGGATAAGTGGTTAGTGATTAACTAGTTACGTAACTACTTAATCACTTAACTAACTAGTTAATTATGCGGTTAACTAGTTACGTAGCTATTTAGTCACTTAACTAACTAGTTAATTATGTGGTTAAATAGTTACGTAACTAGTTAACCACTTAACATTAAGCTGGTAAAATGATAAAAGGATGGCATTTTTAGGCACTAACATGCATTTATTTCCCGTTACGATAACCATTTAACTAACTAGTTAATTATGCGGTTAACTAGTTACGTAGCTATTTAGTCACTTAACTAACTAGTTAATTATGTGGTTAAATAGTTACGTAACTAGTTAACCACTTAACATTAAGCTGGTAAAATGATAAAAGGATGGCAGTTGTAGGCACTAACATGCATTTATTTCCCGTTACGATAACCATTTAACTAACTAGTTAATTAAGAGGTTAACTAGTTGCGTAACTAGTTAACCTCTTAATTTACTAATTAGTTATATAGTTATCTGGTGACAAAAGTATGCCACCAAACTTTCTATTATTTGTTTGTTTGTTTTGTTTTGAACAGGGTGGTCCGACTGGCAGCTTGGAGAATGTGACTGTATGTCGAATATTAGACTTGTACAGCGAGAGTGTAACAATCCCCCACCTATACACAATGACGTTCTTTGTAAAAGTAAGTGTTTTTCCTGAAATTCAGGATGTTAATTTATCAGTTTTGACAAATTTATTTTAAGACGCTCTTTATATATACATATACAAGCATATATACGCGTAGTTCTACCACGTGACGTTTTATTTTTAATGTCATTGAATTTACTCAACATGATACCACTCTTAAGTTCCTCAACAAATATCAGCATTTACAACAGTAACTGGTAATTCCGCTGGTAATCCTGCTATTTCAGGTGACGCTCGAGATGAAGTGATGTATGAAGAACAAACACGTGTCTGCAATTGCACTGGTAAATTCTTTGGGGTTTATTCTTTTAGGGTACCTTAGCACATGTCACTGATGTTTGACTGTGTGTTTCCAGTGACATCTCTTCTGTATCTAACCACTTACACAGATTTGATACAAATTCGATTTTCTGTGCAAAAATGTCTGACTATAGCATACACTGTATCTGGTTTAGAGAAGCTTAAGTAGATTTTTTTAATTTCAACCTTTATTTCTTACAAAAGCTTCATCTCTATAATTTCAAGTTTTAGAGCTCAGATATTTGGTGTGATGTCTTGTATGATGGAATGCTATTTAGTTTGTTCAAATCAAGACCTGGGGTCAAAGTAGGGCCCGCCCAAGGGGTCATGTGATTTTATTTTACATAGTGTTATTAATAGTATTTGCTTTTAAACATTTTTTCCCTAAACTTCAATCATTTGATATTTTTAATGTTTAACATGGTACAGTTAATCACTGTCCTAGATTTTCAAAGCTTTGCTCTTTAGAAGCTCAGATATTTGGTGTGAAGCATTCGATAATGTCCTGCGTCAGGGATCATAAAGGAAAACTTTTAAAAATTTGTTTGTTCTAAGCGCTGTGATCTAGAGCTTTTAAAAATATTTGTTGTGTAAATCATGAACTTTGATACTTTATTTTGCATAGTCTAATGTTGAAACAATCTTAAAAAGCGCTAAGATATTTCATTTGTAGAATTGTATATGAGATCACTGCTAAGTGTGTTCAAATCATGTTTTGCAAAATTACGGCAAAAGAACAGTTATACGAGGAAGCTTAGATTTTTGTATTAAAAGTAGAATTCATAAATATTTTACACAAAACAGCTCGAAACTAAGAATACACGAAATTACGATGGTGAAAAAGTCATATCAATGAAACCACGAAAGTGAAAGTGCGCTGATGAAAAATCAAAATAACGAAAACGTGTTTGTGAAAACTCTGTATAATTTCGTGTTTTCAACATCGTACTTTTTGACTTTTCACTATCGTTGTTTCGTAACTTCGACATTCACCCTCGTATTGTGGACATTTCATAATTGTATCATTGCATCATTCATATGCTGACAAATTGACATAATTATTTCAGTGAAATTGTTCCCTTGGTAAAAATATTTTCTTATATCATCATGCATTTTAAGTGTGTGAGTGCGCATGCCAGACAGGAACGCGACGGTACAATGTCAGATGAAAAGTCGAAAGTACGACGACGAAAAGTAAAAATAATGAAACCAAGATGGTCAAAAGTCGAAAATACGAAAAAGAAGTCAAAAATATGTTGATGCAAAGTCCAAATAATGAAAACCAAGACCGTGAAAAGCCGAAGGCCCGATGGTAAAAACTCGAAAGTTTTAGTTTTCACTATCGTGGTTTCGTTATTTGGACTATATAGCATCGTACTATCGGCGTTTCATCATCATACCCTTGCCTTTTTACCATCATAAGCGTGAGTTTTCATTGTTTCATATGCTTGTCGCGATAGCCGTAATGGAAAACAAATTCCACTTATTTAAAAGACAAATAGGTTATAATTTGACATATTTTAACATTTTAATTATCATATTATATATAATGTTTTGATATGAATACCCTCAGATATATTAACATTTCATATATCAGGTTATATGTTGTTTTATCATTATACAGAAGACGAAATGGCTACAACACCTACAACAACAACAACAACGACGACGGGGTCATGGACAATGCCTCTTCCGGTATGTTACATAACCAGCTGAATTTATGTAATTTAATTATTGCTTCAAAGTAAGTACTTGCCATTGAAACTTAAATGATGTAAATAACTAAACACAAGGTGTGCAAAAATCTCGAAACAAAGTGATCCCTCGGAAGCATTAATCACAACAAAATTACATAAGAATTGCAGACTCTTTTTGATTGACTCTGTACATGAGGAAAATGAATAAGTGCAACATGCCTCACGCCCCTAGCACCGGCTTGAGCGGTACTCAATTCTCAACACTTAACAGTAATACAGCCTGGCCGGGCTACACGTCCTCAATGCAAGATTCGATCATTGCTACAAAGTTAAGGTTAATTGCCCACTATATATTTTCAGGAAAATATCATCACAAAAGCTAAACAAAAGTTTATAACTTGTTCCAATTTGACTTTAAAATGCTCTAGACTTAAGTTATATATCTCATCATACATTTTTTTCAAGAAATAATAACTTAAAAATGTAGATCAGTGGATAAAACTATGTAGAAATTAAGAAAAAAATTGTCATAGATGTTTGTCCTTTCGTAGCTAAGTTTTGTCATATATCCGCAAATCACTAATTCAGTAAGTATTGTGTGGAAGCTGTCACCTTTTTTCCGGCGTCTCGTCATTAACTGTTTTTTTAGTACCTCTCTATCTGTCAGCATTAGCTCCACTTTCCGAAGAAACAAAGTGTAGCTATTATCATGACCCTCTCGTCGGCGTTCGATTACCCTTTCGTTAATGTCCGTATTTAAGAAACAATTTAAGCTTTTTTCACTTCAAACATGGTATATATGTTTGTTGTCAAAAACGGACGCCATTTCAAAATGGCAGATAATCCTTAAATTATTGTTTGCAAAGTTATGTACCCTTTGCCGCTTAGACTTTTAGCCATAGTCAACGTTTTGTTTAAAGTCCATTTTCCAAATAACTATCAATGAATTTCACTTCAAATTTGATATATATGTTGACAATCAAAACATTCCACCAGATATTCCTTTTTGCAAGTAATGCTCCTTTTTGATAAAATTGTCAAAGTTGAACTGTTTAAACTTTAAAACGTTTTTAAGTTATTAAATTGGAATGCATTTTTATTTCCTTTGTTTGACTGACTATCCAACGCTAAGAAAACTGCAGCGCGCCGTATGTGTACGGGTCTTGTTTAAAAAAATATTTAACCGTTGAAAATCATTTCAAAAATCATTTCATGTGTAAATAATCGTCATTTACTTTAAGTTATAGATCCTACCCTTTGGTATCTTCGAAAACTTTGTGATATTTTTTCAAGTGCTCGAACTTTGTGATTATTTTTGGCAAACGCATACTTGTCCTTTTCTTGATATAAAACTATGTTGAAGTGAATATAAAATTAATATATAGTAAAAAGTTAACAGTTACCAAATATTTGTCGATGATCGGCTAAAGTCGGTGATTACGTACACTGCAGTATCTATGCCTCAATAGAAACTAGCAATTATCACAGTATTGCAAGCAATCCATAAGTCCCCTACCGGTTAGAACCCCAGCAACATTCTGATGGGCCATTGGACATTCAATTTTACCAGTGAATGAATGACATGAATGAACTTATATCTTTTGAGTTCTAAGTTTTCTATATCACAGTAATGTGTTAAGTTTCTTTGCCTAGTAAGGAAATTATGTTTATACAACCTTGTCATATTATTACGATGTGGGATTTTAAAGTAAATCCTATAAGGAATGAAGGAGTTGGAGTAAAAAATACCAATTTCTCGAAAAAAATCTATGTTCAAGGGGGACATAATTCTGGAAATAGTCTTGCTAGAGTATTTAACCTTCTCAAAAATGTTGAGTGATAATAAAAAACATATATATGAAGTTTGAAGTAGATACATTAGGAAAGTTATTTAAAAATAATAAAGAAGTTATTTAAAAAAGACAACATTTTTTCATAAAAATTCTAAGTTCAAGGGAGATAATACTGATAAGTTTTGTGCTAGAGTTGTAAACCTTGTCAAATATGATGTGGTTGATGACCAGAAACTTATATTTAAAGTTTGAAGTAAACACCTTAAGAAATAAAGAACTTATGGTGAAGAAGCTGAAAAAATTTGAAATTCAGGCTATTTGTTTCCATACCAACCAGAATTTTCAACATAGGAAGAAAAGAAAAAGATGTGCATAATCTCCAGACTGCCATCTACGCATATTTCAAGTTTCATAAAAATATTTTCTGTACTTTTTGAGTTATCACTGGATCCAGTTTATGTGTTAAATTTGCCATATTTTCAGATTATTTGGTGCCATAGCAACCAGAATATTCAACATAGGAAGAAAAGAAAAATATGTGCATAATTTCCAGACTGCCATCTACCCATATTTCAAGTTTCATAAAAATATTTTCAGTACTTTTTGAGCTATCACTGGATCCAGTTTATGTGTTAAATTTGCCATCATATTTTCAGACTATTTGTTGCCATAGAAACCAGAATGTTCTACATAGGAACAAAAGAAAAAGACGTGCATAATCTCCATACTGCCATCTATCCATATATCAAGTTTCATAAAAATATTTTAAGTACTTTTTGCGTTATTGCGGGATCCAGTTTTGTGGACGGACGGACTGACGGACTGACAGACAGACGGACGGACAGACGGACGGAGGGTAAACCTAAAGTCCCCTCGGGTTAAACCGGTAGGGGACTAATAAGCTCATTTCACTCATTTAACTACATATCGGAAAATAAGTAGAGGATTGGGAACGTTTTGTGTTGTTTCTTTTTTCTTTTTTTTGTGACACCATTAAAATATTTATACATGATGTTTCAGTGTTGTAAGGAAGATGCCTACGATTACAAAAGTAATGATTATGAAATTAATGGTAATAGCTTATTTGGAGGACCTGAAACAACAACAACAACAACAACAAAGAAGCCATCTCAAGTGGACCTCGACTACTATGATATGTATTATGAACTGCTTAAGGAGTATCCTAATTGTCGAAATTGTAGTCGTGCAGAAATAGAAGCAGAAAGAGGTAACTCAGACAGTGAAGATTACGGAGACTTCGAAGACTACGAGTATTACGGAAACTACGGAAATTACGGTGGAGACGGCGGAGACAGTGACTATGGGGATTATTGAAACCGTCTTAGTTAGGACTTCTGTATTATTTACAAAACTAATTACGATGACATGTCATGACTGAGATTTACAAATAGGAACAGTTCATAAAATTTAAAGTTCTTTTCATACAATTATGAAAAGTCTTGTCCCAGCTGAACAATTTTGGCATCACTGCCATTACACAGGTTTGTTACATAGAAACAACATTGTTTAAAAATGGAAATATGCTTCTGTATTTTTTTTGGGGGGGGGGATTTCTAGACAATTAATAAACTATTCAAAGTCATCATTGTTTTCAAATGAACACACTAAATAGCTAAAAGTTGTTAATAAATATAAATTAAAATAATTGAGTTACAGGACATATATATTGACACCAGTGTATACATGACATATAGCAATTTGAAATGAAAATCTACTGCGGAGATATATGTTTTCAATAAAAGAATGTGTCAACTACTGCACTGTATGGCAGTATTACAAAATGGACAGTATTACAAAATGTTATAAGTTGGGCACTCTGTATTTCAAGCTAATAAATAAACGTGTCATATTTTGTATTTCACTGTACACCAACGCCGTGAACAACTGATATACTATAAATACAAAAAAATATGACTGTACAGTACAGTACATACCGTCCTTCTGTTCCTTTTTTCATACCCGTCATATGTCGTCTTTTTGGTGGCCTAAGGTGACTGACTGAAAATGGCTTGTTGTTTTCCTTATACTGTTGTATTTCTTGGAATATTGTTGGCACTGCATCTTGAACGAGTTGAAGTTTTAAACTCAGTCCAACACAATCCATCACGCTAGGTGGATGAAGGAATGAATCGTCGGTGAAATGTCTAGCACATAAACGGGAGGTCTTTGCTGGTTCAAAAGGCTTTAATTTTCCTCCAAATTTTTTAATGATTTAATAGTGTTAGTCCATTTTTTTCTTAACACTTCATCCTTGGGGAAAATGGAAGAAACCCTTCCTCTCTGAATCACTTCTGTTCAGGCATCCAAATGCCACACGATGCACCATGACTCCTTGAATTTAATTTACTAATGTAAACTTATAATAGATATTTTTCAGAAAGAAAACGTAAAATCCTTTAATTAAAATCTCTCTCAAAACAAAACTTCATACACAATACACAGTGCTATCACTTCGATATTTTGAAGTACTCGCAGAAATATTAATACACAAATGGCTGACAAGTAGGTCAAAACAGATGCAAAATGATATTCCTACGTCATCAGCAAAAAATGGCGACGAACATGCCCATTCTTGGCGGTTCACCTTTAAATTTCTAAAATGTGTAAATTTTTGCAATAGAAACGTAGAAATTATTCCATGACAACGATATATGACAATACAAAGTAAGTTTTTAATAAAAGATTTGAGTCGTCTTAAGATTCATGCCAGTGATCGACTATGTTTCTTTGTTCATTAAATCCACTTAAGCTTCACATGTCTTAAAGGACTCTTTGAGTGTGGAAGATTATTACATATGTTTTTGCCGAAGTTAAACTTAAGATTGGATGCCGAATCCTTAGAGCCAGTCTACTTTAAACTGAGTGAGCAGAATTTGCTTAAAAAAACTTATCAAGATGTACGAAAGTAATACCGGTACCATGTACGTTGTCATTTTTACAGTAAAACGTACATTTTTCTATCACTGTTTGATGGGCTTCCCCCTAGTAATGCTTATTGGAGGAAATTCTGCTATTTATGTCCAAGGATGATAATTTGGTCTTAACGGTACACGGGAAGGTCCATTAAAAGGGTAAGTCTGCATATTATCTGAGATTGGAAGTATCAACAACTATAATTAATTCTAAGAAGTACCATCGCAATTGCTCAGGTAGTAAATCAATGTCACTGTTACTTTAAATGATTTGAACTCATAAGTTCGAACCTACGCTCTGCAATGTTATTATGTTGAAGTCGTTATTGTTTTTCCCACTTTTTTATTTACTTTATCTTTGTTTGAATATATTTTTGTTTTTCTAAATTTCTTGTTTTTCCTTCCTTCCTTTCTTTCTTTTTTTATTTCATTTTAAAAATCAAATTATTTTGGAAACACTGCGATTACGAAATATATAATATATATAATTTTAATATATATAAGTCAATATAAGCACACTTGATTTCATAATATTGTTTAACATTTCTAATAAGAAAAATATATTAAAAATCTCTCAGATATAATTGAACATAACATGATTCAAACATGTAAATGGATTAATACAACACTGACACGGACGCTCTGCCTACTGCGCTTACTAGGCACATGAAAAATGACGTTTTAGGTTGTCTTTTATTTATTAGGCTTCAGTCTACCTTACCTATTTTTATTAATCTTCTTTATGTAAACAAAGGCTAAAGTTATCATCCTGGGACAGTATTGCTGCAATTAAAAATAAAAAAATATTTAGTCGAACTTCCATTTGTTCGAGGGATCGTTAGTTAATTGTAGCCAATAAAGATATGCACGTCTATTTATGCAAAAGATAACTTTATAGTCCTATCTTCACAAGAAACAAGTAATTGCAGCAAATTAAGCTTAAAATGTGAAGGGAAACGTAAGCCATAAAACTATAGTTGACGAACAGCGATACACCCACGAACGACATTCAGCGCGTTCGTTCAAAAATATCTCTTGAACTATAGACATTCAAAACGAACATTATATATCAATATTGTTGTGCTAAGAATGAGTGTAATACGTTTCATGATTTACACCCTTATTGAATAATAAAAAACGCTAAAATGTGTTATAAAAATTATCATAAGAATTCTAGGACATTTTGAAAATGGGGCATAAATTTGTCACCCAAGGCTTTATGTTTACAACTTTCCATTTTAATTAGATAATGATGTATGGCAAGGAAAAAGATAACAAATGAACAGATCAATATGTACGAATAAAACAAATAAGTTTAAAGAAATTGTACTAAATATACCAGACTTTAAACAAAATGAAAAATGGACTATTAAGTTTTTTCTGACACATTATACACTATGCATGGCAGGCTTTATTCCTTAAGATTTAAGTAGCACCTCAAAATATCTTTAAAGATGAAAATTGCAATTTTTGAAGAGTGTTTCTTTGGTATAAACAAAAGTTTTTTCACGATATCCGTTACGTTTTCCGGAGACTCCGAGATAGTTCTCACACGAACTCCTGACAAGTTATCATAAGAACTCCATACTTCAGTGTAACAGTTCCTCTCCTGTGACTTTCCATTTTGCAAATTCATTTGATAGTAGAGATTTTACCCATTTATGTGGAGCTAAGTGACAAATCCTACAATGTCGATCATGTTAAAACCACCTCTTTCAAAAGTGTGTATCAATAATATATATTGTTTTCCCTTTTTGCGTTATTTTCCCAAAAGTACGTATATAAAAATAATTGAGTTTTTTTCTGTATTTCTTCTGGAAAGTACAATGATTGCATTAAAAATGTAAATTTTGGAAGCATTATTGGTTTTCTGACTCCGAGTTGTCCATAAACAGTCAGTTTTTTTGTCCCTGAATTAATTGAGCTTTTACCTTTTCAAATTTTCAATTTCAAATTTAATTGTTTTCAATGTTTCCTATTTGTGCCAAAGTAAATGCCTCAAACTTTTAATTTTCGATCCATTTTTATGTCAGTTAAGTTTGAATTCGCAAATTTATACTGTAATCCTTATTGAACGCCTTTGTCTTGTGCATATTTAATTCTAGACCAGAATGTTTTCCGAAAGTTTCAATAGTTAATAATTTATTTTGTACAAATTTTTGTGCTTTTTAAAAAGCATGTTTATATGGGGAGCCTTGTTGTTCGTTTTAAAACTTTAAAAAATTTTAAAGTTTTTTTATTTTAGATGTGGGTTTTTTTGGGTTTTTGTCGTTTATGTCGTTATTCTTTTCTAAAACGAATTTTTCCCTGAAAAGTTTTTCATTTTATATTTTTCCAAAAGAGGCCAATAAAAGTCCCATATTTTTTAGGTATATTATTACCAATAAACAAATTTTTTATGAAACCCCTTTTTGATCGCTTGGGGTATTTAAAGTTTAAAAATACAATTTTCACTGCAGTATTTAACTGCAAGGGGGCCAGTACCCGTAATGCAGCTCTGGTTAAGGAGAGGTTTTGCTGTTTAAAAATTTGTATTAGATTGTCAGTTTTGTATCTGAAATTTAAAACAGAAAGGGAAGACATTTAGTTCAGTGGAAGGTGTACAAATCGACAGTATAGTTGATGAATTTCATGTTGAAAGTGAATTGCAACCAAAATACTAGTACAAAAGAATAATTACATGCAATTCCTTTCAACTAAACATGTCCATGAATATATCAAATCAATAACAATGTTGAAATGAGCACAAACTTAAGTATCATGGCCATCCATAAACACAGTTGACCAAGAGACACATCAGAATATCCAGTGCTTTATATTGCGATAATCAGGATCTTTCAATGAAAATTGTATTTACACTATTGCAATTGTGAAAAAATCCTATGCCACCGAATGAATACAACACTGAATAGCAGAAACAAAAGTAGATTTTTTTTATTTCTATACAACTGACCTTTGCCATAATGTAGGAGTGTCTAGTGTATTTGGGGATCAAGGTCATATACAAGCATTTCAAATGAAAGACTAGAAATGTGTCATCATGCCACGGATGCCCCCGCATGCAGCCAAAATTTCAAATGTTATAATATTTAGTTCCAAATTTGTTTGCACAAATTATTTTTTTCATTCTAAGTTCAAAGCCCTTAAAACTTTTCAATGTTCACACAAACCATTTTTATACAATGTTCAAGGCACTGAAATTATTTAGTCTTAACCTTTTGAAAAAAGCATATTGCATATTTGTAGCCAAAATAATGGCTATATACATTTCCACAAAAGTGAGTGCTGAAACTGAAAGTTTAAAATTTTTCCAACATTCAGGAAAGATAAGTTTGTCCAAAATCATTGAACCACGACCAAATTCAAACTTAAGGTGCTTATTCCTAAGATGTATCTATATCATTTTCAAAGTGAAAGGGACATAACTCTGCCAAAAAATCATCGAACCATGACCAAATTCCAACTTGACCTGCGCATTCCTTTGACATATCCATATGTCAATTTTGAGTTGAATATGTAACACTGTTGGGTTGATAATGAACAGAAACTGTAAATTTCATATCATTTTCAAAGTGAAAGGGGCATTACTCTGCCAAAAATCATTGAACCATGACTAAATTCGAACTTGGCCTGCGCATTCAAAAAACATATCCATATGTCAAATTTGAGTTGAATGTGTAATACTGTTGGGGAGATAATAAACGGAAACCTAAACGTTCATATTATTTTTAAAGTGAAAGGGGCATAACTCTGCCAAAAATCATCAAACCCTGACAAAATTTGAACTTGACCTGCGCATTCCTTTGACGTATCCATATGTCAAGTTTGAGTTGAATGTGTTGTACAATTGGGGAGTTAATGAACGGAAACTGAAAATTTCATATTATTCTCAAAGTAAAAGGGGCATAACTCTGCCAAAAAATCATCGAACCATAAC